CACGGTCAACGCCTTCCGCGCCAGCGCAGCGCCGCGGACGGAATTCGCCTGCGCACAGGCGAACGCCTGTGCACAGGAGGATGATCAAGTTCCGCGCCGGCGGAGAATCCGCCGAGGCCCCTGCCTGCGCACAGGCAGGAGTTGAATTTTTGTCCGACATGCGGACACACGCGTCAAGGCAGAAGGAGATTGGCCGAGGGGCGGTACGAACAAGTGTACCGCGCAAGGCGGAAAACTCGCCTTCGGCGCTACGCCCCCATGTCCGGAGGGTGACACGCTCGCGGAGTTCAAATCCGCCAATTCGAGCGTGAGAGTTTAATCGACGACGGCGGAGCGTGAAGCCGCGCGTGAGAGCGAAGACCGTTCCAGCGTACAGCCGGCGCGGCCATCAAGTGAGACGTTCTTCACGACCAAGAGACGACCATGACCTTCGACCGGGCGGCGGAGAGCGTCCCATTCTTGAATTCGCGATTCCAATCTCTTGTGCGCGCTGCGCGCATCCATCTGCTGGCTGCGGACCATTCTCGTCGTCGTCGCACAGGAGATTTCTTGTTGATTGAGGGAGAAGCGAGTGTGCGTGATTTGGAATTGAGAGCGATTAGAGTTTGCCGAGAGAGAAAGAAACGCGGACAGTGCGGAAGTAGAATGAGCGGGCGAGCGAACCCCAGGAACGCAATGACGAGACCGAGCAGATTGCGGATGGTGCCACTTCGCCTGCCGCAGAACGGGCTGCGCGCTTTCGAAGAGCGCTTAATAGCAAGAAAGCTCGATTTCTTGCTATGGGGATGGAATTACATCTGCGCGAATATGGTGCGCGAGTGGCTAGAGCCACAGGGACCACCCTCGCGCGGATTGCGTCCGCATGTTGACCGGTGGACAGTCCAAGATTGGGCGCAGGCGTTGGGAAGATGTGCTGGCATGCCCGGGCATCTCCTTTTCGACAGTGAGAGCATCAAGGTGACCAAGCAAGAAGAGGCGCAATTTGTGGAGCTGTTCAAGACCGGGAGGTCAACCAAGAATGGGTACAGGACCCGTGATTACAAGGATCGATTTCGCCGAACTTTGTCCGCGGCGCTGATGCAATTACTGCAGCCGCACCGCGCCTGCTACATCACATTGTGGCAGGTCTCTTTTGTGGAGTGCGTCATCGAGGGAACTCCAATTCACTGGGCGAGCATCCTGCACAGGGTGATGCGACAGCACGCGTTTGAGGAGAAGGGGGGAACTCTAAACCATCTTTCTCCTTTCCTCATCAATTTTTATCGACAGCGGAATTGTTTGACAGCGGCGGAGCTTGAACATTTTCCGCCATTGTCCATCGACCATCCCGGGAAGTATGTGCGGGAGAACGAGGTCGACACTGATGCGGAGGAGTCACCGACTTCTACCCCATCAAGACGAAGGGATGAAGGGAGACACACTCCTGCAGCGCGAGTGCCGCGGAAGCGGCGATGGAGGGAAGAGTCCGAAGAGGAGCAGCATCAAGAACCCTCTGCTCCCATTCGACCGCGGCCGCTGTGCGAGCCATACAGCCGGCCGAAGCAGAAGGCACGCAGACTGGTGTTACCAGCTGACAGTGCAGACACGGCGACGATTGCGACGGAGATAGGAAGTGCGTCGCCAGAGAGGCGAGAAGAAGCGCGGACGACCGCAGGAGCGACGGGCCACGCTGCAACCTCGTCGGGAGAGAGGCCGCCTACGGGCCAAGGGCCTCCGGAGTTACCACGTGCGATGCGGACAGAGGTTCCGTTTGCGCACAGGCGAACCTCCGCGGACGGACGAGCCTCCGCGGACCGGCGAACACAAGTGGACGTGGATCTACGCTTACGCGTGGGAAGGAGCAGTCCGCCTGTGCACAGGCGCTCACCTGTGCACAGGTCGCCTGTGAACAGGACACCTCCACACGTGCCGCCTGTGCACAGGCAAGAATCACCCCCGTTCCAACGTAGGAAGGGGAAGGAGCCGGCGGAAGAACCGCCTACGAGACACCGGCCCTCGGGGCCAGACCCTCCGGCGCACCACGCGCCGCAATTCGCGCCTTCGGCGCCAGGGCCTTCGAGCCGAGGGGACACGAGCAGAGAGCGTGCGGAGGCCGCACCATCGGCGGGAAGTACGCCGATAGATGCGCCTTCGGCGGTAGGGCCTATAGGCCAAGGAACATCGGGCGTGCGGCCCCCGGCCATGTCGCCTTCGGCGATAGATGTCCGCGGCGCTACGCCTGCAGCGGACAAGGCGCCGGCAAATGCGCCTGCGCACGGGCCGGGCACAGCCCCCACGGACCGATCGAGGGAGCAGCAGACGGAGGAGCGGAGTGACTGTCCGCGGGATGAAGCCTCGATGCGCGATGCGCAACCCAACCCCGCGCAGCCACCTTCCGCTCAATCGCCTTCGGCGACGGACGACGGCGACAGAGAGAATGCGGTGGGCAATCAACCAGCGAGCGACGGGGATGCCGCTCGGATACATTCGCCTTCCGCCTTAGACATTTTGGCGACGAGCAGCGAGGCTGCAGCCGTGCCTTCGCAGGCAGCACACGTCGAGGACGTGCAGCCCCACTCGGGGCAGTCGCCGACGCAATCAATGGCGACTGAAATTCTCCACTCGGATGATGACGACGGAGGCTCCACGGAAGAAATGTCAGGAGCAGAAGACACCGAGGAGGAGGAGGAGGAAATTGTTGGAGCGCCGGCGGCGGCGCTCTCTGAGCAGGTGATTCCGTTGCTGCGGTACTTGGATCGCAAGGTCGATAAATACGCCGACCCACTCCAGCCGGGATCTTACATCGAGTTAGTGCGCAGGCGGACTCGCACTAAAGTCCACACCAGCAAGCTATTAGCTAGAGTGGACCAGGAGTTGAGGGACTTGAAGGAGAAGCATGAGTGCTTGTGGGGACAGTACAAGCTTAATCAGAAATTCTACAAGCACTCCGAGAAGATGAAGGATGAGAAACTGGGCGAGCTCACCAAGGAGCAGGTGAAGGTCAAGGAAGCACTCAACTCTGAGCAGGCCCAGAATCGGATTTTGTCAGAGGAGCTCGTGCGACAGACGCGGTTGTTGGAACAATGTCAGCTCGCACGGCAGGCGGATGAAGAATTAATCCGCAGGTTACAGTCAGAGTGTGGCGAATTGAGAGCGCAACGTGCCGAAGCCGAATCGCAATTAGTGACGATTGAAGAGGATCGCAGGAAGGAGGCGGATCGCACGAAGGTGGAGACGGCGAGGCGAGTCGCCCACTGTCTAAAGGGCTACGCCCACTGGGAAGTGAAGGCGCAGGAGAAACTCACACTGCGTGAGTTTGAATTGCGCGCAGCCGGGTTGTTGTCAGGCGACAGCAGGAGTCGGCGGAAGGTAGCGAAGAAGCTCGAGGCCTTCCTGTCGAAGGCACAGGATACCATGTCCGCCCTCGAGGGGGAGGTGTCCGCGGCGTTGCAGCGGTTGGGACTGCGTAGTCGAGCGGAAGAGTGGCAGGGTAGGGAGCTAGTGCGCGGCAGTCGGCCGCGCAGGAGACGTAGTACAGGTTCCGCGGAGTGTAGTGTAGCGTGGTTCCGTGCAGGCGTGTAGCGTAGTGCAGTGTAGTGCTAGGTAGGACTTAGAAGGTATAAAATAGTTCCAGGCGTTTTGCCTGGGGTTCTTTCCCATCAGAAGTGCAGATCAGGAACCCATTTCCTTTGCGTGTTTGTGTCCTTGAGTTCTGTCACCACGCACGAGGAGTTACAACTTAGCGTTCCGCATTTTGTAGCTGAAGGCCTTCGGCCGAATGTTCAGAGCTAGTACATTGGTTAGAGACTTGAGTAGTTCGGATCTGCACCTGCGGGTGACTGCCGATGCTCAGAGCCAGTGACTAGTTAGATACTTGAACAGTTTCGCCCCTACACCTTCGAGTGTTTCTTTCCGATTGTACTCCTTGGGATTTTTCCCCTGAATGCCAAAGTGAAGTTTTGCTACTTCGTGTAAGCCTTGGTTGTAAATTCAGGTTACGCTGCAGCAGGTGCCTTGAGGGTAACCCCTGTAGTATTTCTGGGAATGACAAGTGCCTGAGAATTCAAACTCTTCAATAGACTGTCATTGTGTTACTGGAATGTTTCTCAGTGAGTCCTTCAGTGCGGACCTGTGTTCTCTGCGCTTTTGTGAGTTGAGAGTGTTGTTCACCGCGTCTGAGTGACTTCGATCCGAAGTAGGCAGTCCAAACCGGGTTTCCTACACTAGCAGCAAGCTAGTGGAAGTGTTGTAAAAGCCGGAGTTGGAAGTCACTACCCGCAGCTTCGCAGAGTGTACTCTTGAGAGACTTTCCCCCTGAAATCTTGAAGTAGAGGTCCTAACGGATCTCTGGGTTGTGTTTCTGTAGTTTCAGGTGTGTGTGTGTGTGTTACGCTGCACTGTGCGACCTCCGAGTGCGCTCCGAGTGGACACTTGCAGTATTTCTGGGAGTGACAGTCGCCTGAGAATTCAAACTCCTCAATAGTCTGTTAAAACGTGACACTTTGTACCCTGTGTGTTCCTCTGTCCCTGTGGGTTCGACCTTTCTACCACTATATTGCAGTTTTAGCCTTTAGTGGGTTATTACACAGAGGGTGGGAACACCGAAACTCAAGCACATCAGTCTTATTCAAGAGCAGAGAGCTTGATAAGATTTCGGAAAGGGGACGAAATTTATCACACCTTTTCACATGAAAAATTGACATTCGTTCCAAGGATACTACCTAGACTGGATAACGATTCTTCAGTAGCAATTGCAAGGTTAAATTACAGTTGAATTGTGTATAGGAGTTCTGATATCATGCATGACCTCTTTACGACATACAAGATTACTGAGGACTACCTTCCCCTTGACACGGGAAACACGCACTGCACTGAAATGAAGACATACTTGAATTGCTGCCTTACTGACATAAAGTAGAGTTTTAAGGACCCGCATGAAATCACTTCACAAAAACTTGAAATATTACTCAGTGATTTGAGTTTTCAATGCACATCCAAAGATTTGTAGCTACTGGAGCAAGGATAAACACCGAATGAAGTTGAAGTGGAAGTCCATACAGTTTATAATGCAATCATCTGGAATGGATCCTTTTCACGAACAAACGCTAATCTAGAAATGCAGGCCATCCTTGCTGTCGCTTCTAAATCCATTTACCATTTACCATTCTCATCAATAATGTGACAAAAGGTTCATGAAACTTGTCTACGAAGCGCACAAGTTGAAGCTACAGCTGAATAGATCTGCCAAATTAAGCTCAGCTACTGGTAACATTCCTATCAGATGGACCCTCATCACTGGGTGCGGCATCGCGTGAAACAAAGGTAGCCTGAGCTGGATCTGCTTGCTCGGCAACTGATGGAGCAGTCTGTTCTATATAAGCAAAGAGCTGAGCCAAGAGTGCTGCCAGGACTTGCTTTCCATCTTCGAGATCCACCTCGCTTCTCACTAAATCTCTATTTATTTGGTGGATTTTTCTGCGAAGGTAGAATGTGTAGAGATATGCATATATAGTGACCAGGAACATAAACACTGAGGCGGAAAGACATGCCCACTGACCACCACAATCGGCCATATCTGCCTTTGGTTGTCCAGAATCTCTGTTTTTTTAAATACAAAGGACGTAGATGGACCACACTTTTTCCAACAATCACACGACTGATTTCATCATAGCACACCGCTTCTCAATGACCTGATGAGTTTTCCAGATCGATAGAACAGGCCAACATACACACTGAGTCGCAAGAAAAGTCTACTAACTCGATATTTCTGTTTCCTGTGATCCAGCCAGAGATTTGGGAAAGGGTTGAGACTCAAAGTTCTCAGATTTTTGAGAACTGAAGAAACATCCTGCCGACCTCGAGCAAACGATCTGGTCAGAGAATCATGCAGTCTTCCGTCTGACACTCATCGCACACCCAACTTGTACTTGTAAGCTCCTCTGAACATTCTAAAATTGAGTTTCGAGCTCAGCTCTTCATTCTCAACTGACCGTTCTTTAGTTATCGTTGAACCATGCTCTGTTTAAAGACCATTACGAATATCTATTCGTTTTTGCTACATTGCACTCAATCTAACATAGCATGTACGTGGACTTTACGCTCATATAATCCTACTTGGCGTTTATATTCAGGTGGGTATGACCTGTTCAAAAGGGGGTTGGGATCTCACCCCATGGCACGGATAGAACGTTCAGATTCTAAAGATGTTGCTTTCTGAGCTGCTGTTGGTAGAAGTTGGGATTAGCATGTCAGAGATACGAAATTTACTTTCATTCAAAAGAACTTGCAATTACAAACCGTGATAGCATCTCCCTTTGCCCAGACTGTACAAACTAGTTTGAATTTAGTTAATCCGATCTGTTCTTCGACATGTACGAACTTTGACCGGGTGCTCAGAATTTCCACACCCAGTGACTGTAAATTGCGGCTAGTGGTTATGATTCAGTGACAAGAATCATATTTAGAGAACTTTGGTGTTCTGCATTTCGCTTCACATTGAACAGGGACGTTGACCTGTTTTGAAAAATTTAATAGAATTTAAGAACAGGTTCTGTGACATTCACAAGAGATCTGCCGAAATTTTGCTCATCGTGGTTGATCTTTTTCTGACAACTGGATCTACATGCGCGGTAGTCAGCATCTGTGTAGCGACACAAGTTTCACATAGATCTTCAGCGTATGAAAATCTCTCAATGACTACTCTAAATATGATAACTGTTGGAATATGTAATCACATGTTAATATTGACATATACTCTTGAGACCAAACATAAGCTACTCAAAGTGCAATGCAGGTATCACAGGGTAGAGCAAGAATGTACTTGTGTTATAGCTTGGAAATCTTGGATATTCTTCAAATGCTACTATATGAGGAGGAGTACAGAGAATTCACAAAGATATGACACTTATGGAAATAAAGGTAACGACAGAATGACATTGAGCACCCAAAGAACTTCGTAGATCTCACACGAATAGCAAATTTTGCTGACTGAGATGTGCTCACTTTCCTTTATATGTACTACTAAGAACGAGTACAGAAGAATATAGTTGAAGTATTTTATTTGATATAAGTTCGAAGTCTACTGATCTCTCATCCTTTCACTTCGTTCCTGGAAGTAAAACAAGTTCGGAAGCGCCGCCTCTGTATCTGGTGGCAAATACTAATACTTCCTTTGGTGCACATGATTTTGCACTGAAAGATCCGTCGACTCGTGCTACATCTGCTCTGGTTCATCTGAAGCATCAATTGACTGACCTCGCACATGACTCGTACCCGCGTCATCAGTCCTCGTTGGTGGAGGAAATCTTGTTACCAGCTCATGCAGCTCAGACCGAAGAACATCCATTTCCTGTGATCCTTTTTCAAGTGTCTCTCTGATTTGCCTCAGAAGCATGTTCAAAGTTTCAATCTTCTCATGTAAACATGCTAGAACACCAAACGAAGGAGCTAAACACGCGCTCAACACTAACAGCAGGATCCATGCCACCGTACAGAGGAAAATGACTACTTGAGATTTACAAGTCTTGTCGCTCGATGTCGAGACCATTATGCTTTTCCAAGTCACATTTTCATTCAGAGAGGTCATTACTAGCGATGTGATAGACGTCATCAGTGATTCTTCGTTACCACATTCAATATGGATTCCCAGAATAGTCTGATCATGAAGGAAAGTCGTGTGGATATACAAATCTCAGTGATAAGACGGAGATAACCACAGGATCACAAAGGCATCGCCGATCCATGTACGTTTATGAACAAGAACCGGAAGCAAAAGCTAGAGGACCGGTGTAAGCCCCTTATCTACCAGGAGGAATGGTGTCATATCTAGTAGAGAACGGGCTCGGCCGTTTCAAGCCTGCCACCGAATTTTCAAATATTGCATCTGTTAGCGGCTTCTATGACATGTTGATTCAAGCTTTACTTTTCTCTGTTTGATCTCAGTCCAAAACTTAGGATTTGTCGATTTAAAGTTCAAAATAAATCGATTGCGCTGTCACAACAAGATATTTCAACACCTCAACGGACACTTCACAAAGTGTAAATCAGACAGACCTCTGCACATTCTTTCACTGTATGTAATGTGTGGGGATAGACACGTCATGGAGACGATTTTAACGGGTTCTTTAACTCTCTCTCTCTCACTAACCGGCTCAGCATTTTCCCTATGCAGTTTACACTTTATGTGGTATGTAACACTGTGTAGGCACTCTTCCTGAAAGATTTAGAAATTGCACACATTTTGTCAGAAATATAGAAACAATTCTTGATTCAGGTGCGGCTTGAGTAACCAGACCGACTCTACAACTACTGTCTTTGAACTGGTAGAGACCGTAAACGTTGCATATAAAGAGAGAGTCCAATAAACACAAAGAGATTAATTTCTTAAATGAAATACAAAAATAATTTCAATAATATTAAATTCAGCAACATTTTAGTTTAAATATTTTATATTTAAATTAAAAAATTTCATGATAATAATTATAGCATAACATTGTGTACATCATTATCCAGTAACTTCAATAACACCTTCTTTGAGTTAGAAGGTGACTGTCAAACTCATTAGCCCAACGCATAACACCTTTCTAGTTGGAATATGTTTTCAAAACTCATGAATCCAGAGCATGATTTTCAAAATTTTAACTATCTTATGTATTGGTTATCATGCAATTTTGGACCATGGGTTTCTTTCACTCGGATATGAGTGAAATTATTAAACCTCTGAAGTTATCAGAAAGTTTCAAACACAAGTTAGTTGAAAAGAAACATTCCAACAACTCTCATCTCTGTTCCTCTCCAAATAAGTCAGCAAACTATCAGTAACTTCAAAAAAGTAACAGTGAAAGAAAAAACTGTAACAAATTCAACTCATTTTCTATCAGCAAAGTTTGTTTCGAAAAACTTTAAAAATTTTGTCAAAAGCACCGTCGGAAAATTGTCACAAATACCCATAAAAAAACCGTCCCCTCTTATACCATTTGTTAACTCTTAGCCTAGAATCAGAAACACACAACAAGTGACAGTTAACAAGAGACACATGCAAGATGTCACATGGTTCAACATGTAACATGGTCACAATGAGAAGATCACACGTGAGAGTATATTGAAAAGTGTGTTCAAAGTAATCCACAATGAGAAGTTCACACGTGAGAGTATATTGAAAAACGTGTTCAAAGTAATACACGAACGTTGAGTATATATACCCAACACAAGCTATAACAAGTTAGAACTTGAGGTTATTTCTTAAACTGAGTTAATTTCAACAATTCTATTGTAGTGTAACATCATTTTAAGCAATTGTCACTCGCTTCAAATTCACCTTCAAAATTCAATTCACAAACATAAAAAGAGTAAAAAAAAGAAAATAGGTTCAAAGTAATTTTCGAAGTTTTTGAATGGATATAGTCATGTTGATTAATAATTTTTTTGAATTTAGCATGATAGAAAGCAAAATATATATATTTGAATCATGTGGTGTTGATTGAAATATCTAATGAACTTAGAATTAAAACAATTCTATAAAAGAAAAGAAAATATTGATTGATATATTCAAAACTTACTCAATACAAAGTTTGAAATATTAAGAATGCAAATTTTGAGAGTATATTACAATTAAGATAACTCAATTAATGTTAGAATGAAATATTGTATATTGTGTTTCACAATACAAACACCATTTCTCTTCTTTCTGAAAATCACATCATACAAAGTATTAAGAGAATTTAAGATAAGCTAATAAAATCACAAAAAGTAAAACATAAATTCAAGTACATGATATTCAAGTACATATATAGAATTCATTACGTTTAAAAGAAATGAGCTCAAGAAAAATATACATTTTGTAAAATTGTGATGAAATTATGTCTTGAACTTTTTATTTGAATATAGTGTATTTAGTTTTATTGAGCTTATGTTCAAATAAAAATGCAAAATAAATTTTACATATATATAGATTTTGAAATAATATATACAATTAATTTGACATTTTTCAACATGTTAATTCTACAAAATTAGGATTTTTATAATCAATTAATTTTTAAGACTTGTTATGTCATTTAAGTTAAGAAATATGATTTTTATCAATAAAAGTATTTGATAAAAAAATGTAATTTTTCAAAAAAAATATTAAATTTCAATTTTGATAACTTCATTGATGAAATTTGCAAAATTAAAAGAATTTATATGATAGAATTATTGTTACAAGTAAATTTGATTAACTTAATAATTTTTCAGTATCAGTTTATTTCTGGATTGATATTGTTTCACATCTTCATTAATATATCAAAACAATCTAATGTAATCAAATTCATCATGAAATATAACGTTGACATGGCAGAGTAAGTAAATTCGTTTTTGTTTCATGAAAGAAAAATTTTGATTGAATGAATCTTATTTTGTTCTAATTAGAATTTGATGGATTCAAAGAACATGAAATTATGTAGATTAGTATTATTTTAAATATCATTTCAATCTTGTGATCCATATGACTCTTTGATTTCAAACTACAAATAAATTATACAAAAAATCATCTTGATTTTCAGAGAAGTATAAACTTATAAAATATAAACTGGAAAATCTTTCCTTGAATGCACACAATTTTAAATAAAAATGTATAATATTTGAAAAATTATGTTTTATTAAAAAAAATTCAAATTTTTCTTTCAACATGACTTAAATCTCTATGAAATATTCATTCACTTTTATTATCACTTCTATTTTGCAATATATTTCGATGTGTAATTTTTCATTTCTTATGTTTAGATAATGACATCATATTTAAGTGAAACAAAAATGATTCATTTTTCGTAATTTAATTATGTATATATAAATATAATTTTACTCTATATTTGTGTCTCTAATGATTTTATGTGTCTTATTAAACGAATCAAATACTCAACCCTTCATTAATATCTTT